AGCCAATCCAGATGAAAGACAGAATTGGGGTCTCGTGGATTTAAGAGCCAGTCCGTCTGGTTCCCAGAAGGAAAGAAGGAAGCGGAGTCTTACAATTGGTATCAGAACCACGGTTAGCCAACCGGCTCTGACCCGCATGGCGTCTTGGGATGTCCTAAAGTTAAGGAGAATTCGAGGACAAATTTCTTGAAAGTCGGGGAAAATTGTAACATCCTGGTTTCTAGTATATGAGAAAAGGTTTATAAGAATTGATTTAGCTACATATGTCATTAAATTGCACTTATCTTTTCGGGCACTGGTTTTGAGAGAACTCCAGAGTTAAGCGTACTTAAGCTGGGAGCAATTTTAGGATGGATGATCTACCAGAAAATAATCTGCGGTACCGTGTGAGTGATGACAAAGCACGAAAAAAAAATTACGTGGTGATTGCAGGGACAATAGACAAATTTTATGAGCCTTTCGGACTAACGTACAGACCGTCGGACAATGGTGGGCCAACGGACTTAGAAAAGAGGATGTTGGGCCAACGGGTCTAGAGAGAGGACGTTGGGCTCACATGCCTAGAGAGAGGACGTTAGGATCACTGGGAGGAACGGTTGAGGCGTTCAGAGTTGTTGATAGTCAATCCAGATAAAAAACGAGATCGGAGTTTCATGAATTTTATAGCCGGCTTGTCTAATTTTTGGAAAGAAAGAAGTGAGCGGAATCTCATAAAATGTGATGATGTTTGCTTAAAAATCGGTCTTATGTTTATGATAATATACTTATAATCCTAATCATTTGGTTTATATGTCCTACATTGTTATCATGATATTAACAAAATTAGAAACAAGTTGGCACATGTTAAGGGTCGATCTGTCCATTATAAGAAATGATAAATACTGCTCTAAATTATGATATATACTATTGAGAAAGATAAAACATGTTATATAAATCATATAAGTTATTATATGCAAAAATATATTAGTCATGACACGCATTATCGACGTTGGCACGCATAACCCGCCTTGGATTTTGTAGTTGGCGTGTTATATTTTATTTATCTTTGATGTATATATGTATGATTGTGTATTCATACTCATTATCATAAACAAAAAAGTAAGTATATTCACAGTGGCGTGAGTCATGCGTTTTAATGTTATAATAACAACCACGTGCACCTAATCCACCAGGTCCATCAAATAATCTTATAGATAATCTAATCCTCTTATAATATAAGTTGGTGTATCCGAGTAGCCATTTATGCGAAAATGACCCCAAAATTAGTTTATAATACATTTTCCTGGTCAAATATGAAATTTAATCTAATGTATCGATTTAAAAAAAAAAATATATATATATATATATACATATATCGAAAATATATATTATATAAAAAATGGGATGTGTCTCACAAACTTGACACATCAACTCTTCTCCTTATGACACATCACCTTTGAATTTATTATGAAAAAAATATTTACATCAATATTTTTTTTTACTAATCCCAGAAATAAAAAAAAGAAAGAAATATTCATTTTTGGTTAATAGCACTCATTATTATCTCATTAATCTTATTCCTAGAAGTTGGAAAGATGGAACAAAATGGTTATCATGGTGATAGTTTTTAAATTTGATTATTACGGTGATAGTTTTTACAAAGATAGTAAACTTCATCTAATGAAATAGTAAAACTGAGATGATTAATTTGCTGTGAATTATTTACTATCTTTATAATTATAATCTCTTAACAAAATAGAGATGTGAGTTATTTACTAACTAAAAATTTATTTACGAACTAAAATAGAGAATCAGAAATAAACTATTTAAAGCTTTATTAAAATTTTTTTTGGCTAATTATATGATTATTTTTAAACATAACCAGTTGGAATGATTGATAAACCTTTTATATTTTTAAAACTGAAAATGTTACAACTACAATCACAGATGTAACTATGTAAGTAACCATTTTGGGAACAAATTTTAATACAATTAAAATTTACAGTTATCTTACTATATTTTCATGTATTGTATAGTCTTTCTAGAAGAATTTTATAATTGTAGGGTTTGGAATTTTTATATGTTTTTTAATTCAAATGTTTCTTCGTTTAAAGTCATTGATTTGAGTTTGTTATATGCCAATTTTCAGTACCTAAGTTTTCTACTTCTACAGAAATTATCCCAACAAATGAAAAGATGTCAAGAAAATGGAAATGTGTGACCAAAACCTTGAAAATATTTTAAAATCATGCAAGTTTTCTTACCAGATAGCATATGGTAATGGAACTATAGAATCATAAGACGTCATTTTGAGAAAACTTGGGCTAATGGTTTTTGAATCTGAACTCAACTGCATCAATAAGACTGATGCTGCGCTTATTGAAAGTGTGAAGATTGTGATTTAAAACCAGGCGGAGATGCTCAAAGTTGACATGTTTCTGATTTCCACAAGAGTACTGGTGGCTCTTTAGGCAAAAAAATCAAGGATGCAGAGTTCCATTGTTGTTTAGAGGAGACAATGCTAATGTTATCTGTTACTTGACACTCAAGTTGTTAAGATTTCACTCTTTTATCGTTTGTAAAGACTGCCCCAAAGTAGACAGCAATGCGTATTAAATTAAAGGTTGTTCCATCTTTTTTTCCAGGAATAACAGAGTAGAAGGCGATGATATCACCACACCAATGGTAGTTTCTGTGTAGTTCAATGCACAAAATCAGAAGGATACAAAGAGGTTCTTGGGTTTATACATATGTGGTGAAGATTATGTGGTCAATGGAAAAATTGCTTCTAGGAAAATTAAGAGAGAAAAGTACCAGCTATTAATAAGGTACTTCGTTATTTCCATTCTCATTATTATTTTTTTGCTGTATTTTTAAAAATTTGTGTAAAGAGAAAAATATAAGAAGTAAAGGGCAAAGAGAGAGTCAAAATTTACAGATAATATACTAAGGAGATGGCTAACAAAAAGAATGAGAGAACGAAGGATATTGCTCTCTCCTCTAGGATGTATAAGAAGTTTTTATGTATATATTTGATTTTTTTAAGAAACAAATAATTAAAGAATTTAGGATCTTATAATTATAACTAAAGTAAACGAAAAGTGTTTTACATTTAAAAATTTTAAGTAAAAAAGAGTAAAAAAAAACTATGTGGAAAGTTTACAAAAAGAGTGAATAAACAGAAATACTCAGAAAATAGAAGAAAAAGTTATAACAAATCACATTACTCTAAATAGTAAAAACATTTTGTCACTCATCGAATAACCAATCATCTATCTTGAATTAGGTTATATTTGTTAAAGTATATTTCTTACCAATTAAAACTTAACTCCTAAACACTAAATATATACAAAATTTATTTTATTATATTACATACAATTTAAAAAATTTAAATAATATATAAACCTGTGTGTACACGCGGGTCTTCACCTAGTATTTATATAATGACTGGAGATCATTTCCCTGAAGTTATTCTGCATCTAAAAATTTTTTTTTTGGACAAAGTTTTTTACTTATTCCATCGATGATAAAAACTATTAAACTCAAAACTGGCCATTTACGAGAGTGGATAACGTCACTAAAATCTGACGCGGTATCACACCTACATTAAGCTTTAAAAACTACTAAACCCAAGAGAAACAATCCATTGACTGAGAACAGTAATAACCTTAGTCGCAAAGCCCAATTCAACGTTTCCGAGATAGTATATATGTCTCTATTTAAATCAACAATAAACATGCCAAAGAAAATATTATCTTAAGACTTTTTACATTTCTTTTTATCCTTTTATTAGCGGTGCATGTAGATTTTGGCGGTGGAGATACATAAATAATCTAACTCTATAATTGGCTAGTTTGCCAAAAACAGGTTAGTTTGAAAAACATGACCAAAATCAAAAGCATTTTAAATCTGTTGCTCGATAGTGTCACACATCATAAACCGTTCACTGTATTAAATCACTTAAATTGTATTATAAAAGTAAATTATATTATTTTGAATCATTTATTAATAATTGATATAAAAATATGTAATTTAACATAAGTTTTGTAACTGATTTTACAATTAGCTAATTTAACATCTATTCAATAATACATGATATAAACTTTTATTAATTTATATCACTTAATGAAAAATGATACAAAAATATGAATGAATATCACTCAGAATAATTGATATAATTATTTTTTAAAATATTATTTAAAAATAATACAAATATACCATCAATAAAAAAAATAATGTTAAGTGAAAAAAAATAATGTTAATAAATTTTTAATTATCTTTTGATGTTTGTCCCACATCGATAATTGATGCAGGGCATCCTTATCTGTTTCATCAGAAAAACACACTTTAAACCACCTCTATCGCTGAGTTTTAGAAGGGTTGTTAAGGTTAATTTAAGATTAAAAATAATTGAAAAAGGGTTATTTGTTGAAGAATCGGAGAGATAATCTCGCGTACTCCTTCCGCATTATAGAAATTCTCAAATCTCCTCCTCATAATATCTAATTTGTTTTCGATTTATTTTAAAGCAAGAAAAAGGGAGAAACAGTCAAATACTGGCAGGTCCTTACTAAAGTTTCATATCTACTAACCCAACCACGAAGATCCACATCCAGTCTGTCATTTCGGGTTGAATCCGAAGAAATCGGGTTTTGGATCAAAAATTGGAGACAATTTGTGGTAAGTGTGAGAAAAAAAAATTCAAATTTTGAAATCGTCCTCACGTCGTCGTCGTCTTCGCCTAGTATTCTCTGGGACAACTACGAGTGATTTGCTGCTGCTTGTTTTAACTCAACGCCTCGCTATATCAGGTTCGTTCGTCTTCATCCTCTGATTTCTAATTTCTATCTAGATTGCTTTGTAGATTTCAACTCGGTTTTGTGTAGAATCCAAAATTCGATTTATATGTTCTCTATTCGGTTGGCAATTACAAAATAGGAGTCATGGACTTAGGCAACGAAAGAGTGTTTAGATATGCTTGACCAGAACTGTACTCAGATTCCGAATCGTCGCAGGAGAAAATGGTAGAAGGAGTTGCCGAATCAGAGACGGGTAATAATCAGATAGTGTTGTGGAGGGGAACTGAGGCTGAGGCTGAGGAGGAGGAGAATCAGCCATTGCCACCCGTGAGAATGTTCTTCGAGCCCAGTCAGTATCGTAATGCAATAAAGCTGGGAACAAGATGTTATATCCACAAAGCTGTTACGAAATTGGAGTCCCTAGACCTTGAACCACATGAGCTGTTATGGTTTACAGAACACCCACAGTTCAAGCACTTTTGGCATATGCATAGGGCCATGCATGAGGACACAACACACAAGATGATGGGAATGTGGTTGCTTCTTCTACGGACAGCAAACACAAATAAGAAGAGGGAAGCTTGGTTTGTAGTGAATGACGTACCAATTCGCTATTCCCTTAGAGAGCATGCCATTTTGTGTGGATTAAACTGTCTCCCATACCAAGAGGACTATGAGAGCATAGGAAGTTCTTCGTTTAAGAATAGATATTTCCAAGAAACCGTCCCCTCCCTTGCTGCTGTTGAGAAAAAGCTAGAGTCGATGCGAGGACTAGTTAATCCTGATCGGTTGAAGATGTGTGTCGTCTACTTCTTATCCTCTATAATAAGTGGGAAAACGAAAACCGGTAAGGGAGCATCATCTGTTGACCCCTTATTCCTGAGGATTGTGGATGATCTCGAGGCTTGTAAAAGGTTTCCTTGGGGTAGGTATTCATTCGATGTAAATATGAAGGAGATTGAGCACACAATGAGGCATTTCAATGGGGTCTTCGGAACAGATGCGTGGACATTTCTAAGCTTTGTTACTCCCTTGGAGGTATGTCACATTATAAATAATTTGTAACTATGTAATACTATGAGCGTAAGTGTAATTTGTTGGGTTTATGTGTAATTGCTAGCCTTTGAGGCCATCCCATGTTTGAAGAACAAATACAGAGAAGATGTTAGAGGAGCAGGGAGGGATTGTCCCCGGAAGTGCAGGCAGAAGTTCCAACCATTCACACTAAAAGGTTTCCCTTTGTCAAAACTCTATGAAACACTGGGTAACACTAGGGTCATCGAGAGTATATTGCAACCATCCGAGGATGAGGTAATTATGCTTGCTAGAGTCATGGAGAGGAATGAAGAGGAAGATATCGGTGATATCGTTCCTGAAAATTGGACGAGGCATTTAGTTGAGGAAAAGAAGTCGAAATTCTGGAAAGAGATATGCAAGATCGATGTTGATGCCCGAGATAATAAGGAGTGGGTAAACCATCCTGTAGCGGCTAAGAATAATGTTGGGACGGAGAAGGTGGCGCCTCTTGGAATTGTGGAACAGCTTCAGAGCTTGCAGAAGAGTATGGACGCTCAGTTTCTCCGAATCAGTGCCCGAATGGATGGCTTTGATACAAGACTCTGCTCTGTAGAACAATATGTAAAAGAGACAAGAAGAGAAAGGGAAGGATCAGGAGATGAGGGAGGAGAAGTTTTTCGAAATGATGTAGAACATGAACATGATCAAGCTGGAGAGAAACTTGAAAGTCTGGTGAAAACTGAGAAAGCGAGGAAGCAGAAACAGTCGAAGAAGAATCAGCCAAAGCAGAAGCCGAAGAAGAAGCAGAAGGAGCCGGAGCAGAAGGAGCCGGAGCAGAAGGAAGCAGAGCAGAAGGAAGCGGAGCAGAAGGAAGCGGAGCAGAAGGAGGCGGAGCAGAAGGAGGCGGAGCAGAAAGAGCCGGAGCAGAAAGAGCCGGAGATGAATGAGGCGGAGCAGCTTGTAGCCCGATCTCCGTACCTGCTTAGAAGTAAAGAGGTATTGAAGTTTGAAGAGTAATATCCATTGTTTTGGTAATACTTAATATTTCGTGGTAAACTATGTTGTATTACTTGGTATGTGTAGGTAGAACCAGACGGTGCTGACGTTGTGAACGCAGAAATGGGTGCAGGTAAACGGAAACAAGAGCAATCGAAGCTAGGGCCAAACACAAAGCAGAGACGTTAAGTCTTGTATGACATTTGATATATGTATTTGTATTTGGATTAAACTGAATTAGGGTGTGTTCTTCTATTTCTATTATTGATTTTGGATTATGGAAAACCAAATATTGGGAAAATTTGGTATTATTGGTGAAACCACATATAAATGGTATAACCTAGTATTATTTGGTGTAACCAGTTATATATGTGGAATACTAGGCCTAAACAGTTCGAGTTAAAATTATTAGAATAATGTTTGTACAGAACATAAGGGAGTACTAAACATAACGAAATGTGCACACACGGAATCCAGAACATAAGAAAGTACAAAAAACAAAAAACATAAGACAGAAAACATCTGACACATTCACCAGTCTCCCATATCAGGACCAACCCTAACTACCCAGTACACATATAGGAAGAACCTTCCGCATTCGCGAGTTAAGAAGCAGTAGTCGCAGATGTTCCCTGGTTTATACTCATCATTCCACCAACGCTCCCATTGGTTAACTGTACTGCACGGACAGTGGATAAGAGTATTGAGGCGCGGTAAAAAGCGACGGTGGCCTTCATTGAATATCTCTGGCAATCCCAATGGCCAACCAAGATATATGATAACTAAGGTTTTCAAGGCCTTAATAAGGGTTATCAATCCCTTATGTCACTTGTAGTACAAAGGGTGTCAATCCAAATGTGTGTTTGCTAGACACTAGTTTATGTGACAAGTTCTTAAGTCAAGCTGAATAAAAGATGAGTTTGGTAAAACCAGCAACAAGAAAGCATAAACAAGAAACAAACAAGCAATGATTAATGAACTAAACAAAGCAAGCAAACAAAACAAAGTGATGATGATTAAGCAAATGATAAAAGCTAAACCTCTAGATGTGATCATTGATTAGGGTGCTTTAGATATTGAATCATGATGCTAAGAACATAATGCAACACTTGCTACTCTTTAGTCTAGGCTTCTTAATCAGATTAATTCATTCCCATGACAATAATCCCTTTGCTAATCACTTAATCAAGTCTAACAACCATTAGATATAATCAAGCAATCAACAAGCATAATGCATCAAGCCTAATAAGTGACCAAACAATCTCTCAACCAAGAAGACTGAATCTTACACAGAAAGACATAGCAAGCAATCACATGATCTCAAACATTTCAACTTAGAACTTTAATCTAGACTAATCCTCTTATGAAGGCATTAATCTCTACACTAATCCACTTTTAAACCAAATCATCATTTGTGAAATATGAATCAATGAGCATTAGGAAACAGTTCTAATATGTCATTCATGCATTTAACAAATCATTCCCATGATGAAAAAGGCATAAACCCTTAAGTTAGCTCATTCAGGCATTTCATCAAACACCTTGTGGGTGGAGAAATGCCTAAGTTCTAGATCAAGCTTATAATGAGAGATCTAGCATTAAGAGCAGCTAACTAAAGAAATGTAATGAGAATCTAGACCATAAACATCACAAATCAAACATCTAAGCACCCTAATCTACACACCTAGAAGTTTAAGAGAAGACTACTCACTAATCATGAAGAACACATCTAATCTTTTGCAAAAGATGATGTTAATCATGATTAGAAGCAGAAATGAGATGATGAGATGATAAGAAACAGCCTTAAGATGATTAAATCAGCAAGATATCTCTTAATCAAAAACGTTTTTACATTAAAAAGGAAAGAAAATTAGAGAGAAACTAAGATAGAAGAAAAAGTGTCTAGGGTTTTTCTCCATAAAGCTATATATACTAAGTGCTAATGAACCGGGTCAGCCCGGAACAAACCGGGTCCTGACCCGGCTTTAGTGGGTAATGTGGAAATACTGCGGGTTGGTTCAGTGTCTCCCAGGTAGCATGCCCAAGTCGCAGTAGATGAAGAACTTGTCTTGTGAGACTTAAATCGCTTTGTCTTAGCCGACGTCCAAGTAGGAGTGTTTTGCGAGTCTTGCTGCGGCTTAATCTTCTTCTTCTTCAACTCGCAGGACCAAGGCGGTTTCTGGGGAATGTACAAACCGTGCGGCCTGGTCTCCTTGCTCCCAGCCAGCACGCCCAACCCGGAGTAATTTGCGAGTGATCATGCGGCTTGGTTCCAGTGTCTCCCAGGTAGCATGCCCAAGTCGCAGTATTGTGGACATAGCAATTTTCTTGCTCGGGAGCCTCAGACCTCATCCATTGATAGCTTACCCGCACTTCTCAACTCGCATCATCAATTTCCAGGCATTCGTTTTCAGGCCTGCGAGTTAACCAAGTCGCAAGGCTTTCTCGCAGCATTCAGAGCAGCTTGGAGCACTTCGCATTCCGGAGAGTGTAACTTCTAAGATACTTGTCCGAATTGAGTGATTCCGGTTGCAGAGGACAGAGGACTCATATATCTCAAACTTTTACGAAGGAAGCTTTGGTGCTTGGGAAGTGGAAGGCTTCCTGGAGGGCTCATCTTTGCAGTGAATTTACACGATCAGAGAGAGGCGTCTAGACATGTGTCTATTCCGGAGACCGTATCTTCCTGCTCATAGCTCCGAATTGAATGATCTTGGATGTTCTGGAAAGAGGACTCAAGTGTCTCGGATTCTCATGAAGGGCTCGGAAACTGAATCGGCCTGAAAGTGCACCGTCCTTCGCATTCTTCAGAGCTCATCGGCTTGGTCCAAAACAGCAGCGAGACAGGGGTTCCTTCCGAAGAGCTTAACTTTCTACTCACGCGTCCGAATTCCATGATTCCACTTGATATGGAACCGCAATCCAATCCTCTCCAACTTCGATGAAGCACCCGACAGCTGAATCGGACCGGAAGGTTCCCCGGACAGAGACATGTTTGCACCCGGAGATTTTGGCCGAGAAATCCTTTAGCCGGTACGCGTTTTGGCCGGTAAAAATCCACCCGCGGTACGCGTTTTGGCCGAGAAAAACCTTCCTGGTGCGCGAGGATGGCTGATAACCTCCAAAGACCCAATTTCAACATTTTTCAAGCTTTGATCACCATTCCACTTCCTGGATTCATCTTTTCAGCTCCAAATAACTCCAAATACACCTGATAAACACTCAAAACATGCAAAGACTCATTGGGACCTAATGCATCTCCTAAGTCCTACAACAATGCCTAAAGACCTAAAATGTATGCAAATGAGACATAATTTGGACTTAAATATGTACATTAAATGATGCAATTTATGAATATATCAACTCCCCACACTTATCCTTTGCTTGTCCTCAAGCAAAAAGAACAAATGAGAGAGAGAGGTTGAATGCATTGGGAGTTCATATTTCCTTTGAAAGAGAAAAGTGACCACTAAGAGAATTCAAGATCATGCTCAATATGCAATGCAAGACCATACTCTGATGTATCAACTCAACAGTAATCTCCACAAGTTCTCTTATTCCTCAACTCTTTGACATTCATTAGGCTCTTTACCAAGTGGATCAAATGATGCAATGTTCAAACAAGCAAAGTTTGGCTAGGGTGAGGTACTGAGACTAAAATGCTCTCATCAGCGCCTAAGTGGGTTCAATGCAGCAAGGGGATCTCTCTATGAATGATCAAACTTTGGCAGAATGCTAAAGGTAAAAAGCAACCTATGCATACAAGGGCAAGGACTCATCCCACCCCACACTCTACTCAAAGCTTTCTCACTTGCTCAAGCTCTCAAGAACCTCACTTTCCACACTCATTTTCCTCTCACTAGGGGACTCACTTATCATTTTCACACTCAAGTCTTGGAGTTCAAATTTTACATAGCTCCTTTTCACTTTCTTTTGTAACTTCTAGCCTCTTTTTCTTTCTTTTTAAAACATTTGAGCTCTTGGGCTTCTTTTCTTTTCTTTTCACTTAGAGGCTAGACTTTTTCTTTTCAAAACACTAGAGCTCACTTTATTTGACTCAAAACTCCAAGACTGATTTCTTTTCTTTTTCTATCCCCTAGTTCTCACCATTCTCCTTTTATTTCCACTCATCTCTCCTTTCCACTTACCAACAAGTATTCCCCCACACTTTTGCTCTCAATGTGACTTGCCCTTGTCGCTCTAAACCTAACACTTTCTGCTAAGTTTGATCCAAGGTGGCCTTTCAATCACACACAAACATTTGGCTTGAAAGAAGGATGGGTTCAGGGTGAGGAAAACTGATCCAGATGTGGACTCAGCTATTTGAGCTAAGGAAGAGGGTGGTAAAAACAGGATTCTAGCTCAAATATGTATATAGGTATCCACAAACTTATTTAAACAATGCATCACAAGATCATTTCAAGTCAAGTTCAAGGTTTTCACTTATTAAAGTTGAGTTCAATTAAAACTTGCTTCTCAGATTCAAACCATTTCAAGCCTTGCAAGCACATAAGTCATTTCACAAGCATATTTAATCCAAATTCTCAAAGTGATGTACACTCAAGGAAAGAACCTATCATTACTCCCATTTGCATATGATGCAACCTATATGAAAATGCAAACTAGACTCAACCTAAAATGTGAATGCAACTACATGAGCATTTTTTTGTGAAATTTTTTCAGATTTTTCCATTTTTTTGGTTTTTATATGCACTTAGATGAATGCAAAATGAGACTCAAAGTGAAAAGGAAAATAAGAGCAGAATAAACATGATTAGTAAACACAAAACCCCTCCCCCACACTTAAATAACACAGTCCCTTGTGTTATAAAAGCATGAGAAAGAGAAAAAATCAAACATGAAATGCAAAAGATAAAGAACAATGCTAAATGCTCATTTACAAGTATTTGGAGTGATACCTGGTGTGGTTCTTGTGCAAAAGGGGAGTGAGTATCTGCACCAGATGAGGCCAGACACCACTGGAGATGGATTTGGCTTGGCCTGAACTCCCTTGTGCGGCCTGGACTTGTCTTGGACCAACTCGCAGACTTTGGGACATAGATACCTCGACCTTTCTTCTTTTTGGTGCGGCCTGGTCTCCTTGCTCCCTAGGTAGCACGCCTCACTCGGAGTAATTTGCGAGTCTTCATGCTGGTTGGCTTCCTTGGGTTTCAGGTAGCAGCACCAGG